CCTCCCCTACCTGTGTGGTAGTGTGGCCGAGCCCAGTATAGTCCGACCGGTACAGGGAGCTGTTGTTTCCTGTACCCAGCCGGACTAACACAGGAAGTGAACACTCAGTGTTCACTTCCTGTTAGTCCGGCCGGGTACAGGAGACAGCTGCTCTCTGTACCGGTCGGACCATGCCATAGAGGGCTCGGCCACGCTACAGAGAGGGAGCTGACAGGAGAGAGCGCTGAGCGCTTCCCTCCTGTCAGCCTCTCCTCAGGCTGCGCCCGGGCGGTGCGGTCCGCCCTCATGGACGCACCGCCCGGGAAAAGCTGCAGCCGCCTGAGGCTCTCTACAGAGCGCTCGGGCGGCTGCAGCATGAGCGGGGCCGGCGCTCCTGGCGGCGCCCCCTCCCAAGGGGCGCCCTAGGCGGCTGCCTAGTCCGCCTTACAGGTAGCGCCGGCCCTGGCTGCACACCCCAACAATGCGCCTCTATCTACAGAGTGCCTGGTTGTTATGCACTCCTTGTAATCAGCCAGGATCGGCTCTACCTGGCACCATATTCACTACAGCATGTTGTAGTGGTTATGATGCTTAGACTGCCTCTTTAAAGGGTTACTTAAGCCTGAGTATATATCATTACTCACAGTAATGTGTTTTTGAATTACAATAAATGTGTTTAGAAATCAGTGTGTGTAAATAAGATACATCATTATTGGTTTAAACCAGTGGTTCCCAATGGTTTTAGGTTCAAGGCGACCTTAATATTTCAACATTTTTCCAGGCGCCCCAAGTCAAAAAAAGTTCTAGGTTGTATACATGTGGCATATACTGGGCCCCTGTCCAGCAGAAATGTTTCCCTGTCAGGGGCAGATCCAGAACCTACTCTCGGGAGGGGCACTGGTAGATTATTTAAAGAAACAATCTAGGCACAATAACCACTACAGCATGCTGCCAGGGGTGCAGTGGTGCCCTCCCACAGTAAGTAGTCAAACTGTTTAAGAACAGTTTGACAACTTACCTGTGGTCTTCCAGGATAGGGACTATAGTAGGGGATAGGGGCAGTGGTGTGTGTGGTGTGTGTGGTGTGTGTGTGTGAGGGGCGCAATGTATGTGTGTGTGAGAGGGGCGCAATGTGTGTGGGATTAAGTGTGTGTGTGAGGGGTGCAGTGTGTGTGTATGTGTGAGGGGTGCATTGTGTTTGTGAAGGATGTAGTGTGTGTGTGTGAAGGGTGCAGTGTTTTTGTGAGGGATACAGTGTGTGCGTGAAGGGTAGCGTGTGTGTATTGAGGGGTACAGTATGTGTTGGGGGGCAGAGTGTGTTTAAGAGAGCATTGTGTGTGAGGGGAGTGTGTGTAAGGGGTACAGTGCATGTGTGTGGGGCAGTGTATGTGTGTGTATGGGGGTTAGTGTGTGTGTATAGGGGCAGTGTATGTGTATAGGGGTAGTGTGTGTAGGGTGCAGTGTGTGTGTGTGGGGCAGTGTATGTGTGTGTATGGGGGTTTATAGTGTGTGTGTATAGGGGGAGTGTGTGTGTATGTCTACAGGGGGCATCGTGTGTGTGTGTAGGGGGCAATGTGTGTGTATATGGAGGGCAGTGTGTGTGTATAGGGGGCATAAAACTCAGAGGTCCCATTCTGAATAGTCCTTATGCTTCAAATATAACTCCTCTCAATCTTTGAACTCACCATATACATAACTCCCAACATTTCATATTGACAAAGAGGGATGCTTTGACTTTAGGGGTGTGACTGGGGGTATGGCCAAGAGCAGGGCTGTTCTGAGACATTTTAGGTAATTTACTAATAACAATGTATGTCACTAAAATATAATTTAGAAAAAGAACACTGTACACAGAATGATTTCTAAACTCATTTAGTGTATTACAAAGACAAATTAGTGTGAGTATTATTGCTTTAGCATTTGATTATACACTTAGACACAGCAACATTATGGAGCTCCTAGAAAATAAGGGCATTAGGGTAGAAAAGAGGGACAGAGGGATTTGGGCCCAAAATATGGACATTAACTAGAGAAATTAAATTAAGGTGGGAGATAGCTACCCTAACAAAATACATTGAAGATAAAATTACCCCAAGGGATCTATGTTTACTTAAAATGTTGACTTCAGATACAGATAATAATACCTTTATGAAAGAGTGGTACGACCACCTGGCATTCTGTACATTTGGCCTAATGAAGTCACTAATCAAATGTAAAAATGAAAAACTAGCTACTTTAGACAGAAAAAGTTACTCACTGAAAGACCAATTAGTGAATGGTGATACAGAACAATAATATGAAGCAACTCTCGATATTAAAAAAAAAAAAAAAAAATAGAAAGAGAGACTAAAAGAATAAAAATAAACAAATACAATAGGGACAAATATGACTAGGCACACTGTGACAAACTGCCTTTTGTCACTGGGTTTTTGTGTGACCAACTGCCCTTTGCCCCTGGCTTTCGGAGGAGCCTGATTGCCAGCCTCCTGCCTCATTACTATGGTCCTGGGGTGTATGGCCCTTTAAAAACTATATGTGACCATATTGGGACTTTTAAAAGACTGTTTCTGCCCCTTTGATTCCATGGGAGAATGTGCCTCTTCCCCTCCCCCTTTAATACCTATCCCATTGTTCTCCAGCAGGGCATTGTCCCAGGGACACTGCCAGACCAGTTTAAACTGGCTGCTTTGTCCCTCGTCAATCTCTCATCAGCCCTTGCAAAACTTTAACCCCATGGCAAATTTACTCTGTTCGTGGTATCTGAGCGCTGTTCACCTATATTGGGCACTCAGATCCGAGCTATCTGGGGATAAATGTGGGGGTTCTGTGTGATATAATAGGAATTATGTAGTTTACTATTAGTGTAAAATGGAGAAATTTTCTGTACCTGGAGACAATTGAGTTTACTGCAGTTCCTTAAGCCAATTATCTCCAGGATAGAGGGGAGGGATTTTACTGTGTATGTGGGAGTATTATTTTGTTAATTAGTGTTCCCATTGGTTTGTGTCCCTTTTGTCACAGTTTACCACCAGGTCCAGGGAGTGTGCCTCTGGCCTGAAAACTTGCATAAAAGAAAGCCCTTTGGTGCTGATTAAACAGATCATCTTGTACCTTCATGAAGATTCGGCTCATGTTTGGGGGATTAGAAAACTACACTCTGGGGATTGCTATAAATCACTTTACTCCCCAGGGTATAATCACTAAGCTCTGCTAAGAGCTTGTTTCTGTTCCTCCTCTCTGGAATTCGGAGAGGTCGACCTACTGGAAGCTGGAGCCTGGTCTTGGGTCCAGAGTGGGTGGAGACGGCTAGACCCCAACCAAGTCGAGTGCACTGGATATTTTTTGAAAAAAAAAGTCTGTAAAGAACTAAGATTCTTAAATAATGGAAAAAGTGATAGATTTAATATTACTAGAAAAGAACGAGATAGATAGAATTACAAAATGATGACTTTATAGTCATTAATCCAGCAGACAAAGGGGGAGGCCTTGTCATCCTGTCAAAGGAGATGTATGAAGAAGAGGCAAATAAACAACTTAATGACCCCACTACATATATGAAATTAAAAGGAGACCCCACCCTAGGAAATATAACCTCCTTTCTTGAACTTTTAAATGAAGGGAAAAATAATGGTATATTAAATTTGGATGAATGTAATTATTTAAATATAAAACATCCCAAAATACCGGTAATGTACTTTCTACCTAAAATACATAAGAATGTTGAAAAACCACCCAGTCTTCCCATTGTCTCTGATATTGGCTCCATCCTCTGCAATCTATCAGAATATCTTGGAAAGAGATGGATCCCTTCCAGCGGATCAAATTAACTTTATCATAGAAGGGATTAAAATGATTCTAAACAACAAGTATTTATGGTTTGGTGACTCTTTTTATAAACACAAAAGTGGCACAGCAATGGGCACCAGGTTCGCACCCAGCTATGCCAATCTCTTATGACAGATTGAAAGAGAAAGTGGTGTGGATAGGGCATAGCTAGGTGGAGAGCCTGGCAACCTATCACAGGTATATAGATGACCTCTTTTAATATGGAATGGTCCAATATCAAGTGCACAAGATTTTATCACTTTTTTAAATAGTAACGAGGAAGGAATAAACAAGCAGATTTTAGTACCATTTGTTGCTGGTCATAGCTACAAATTCTTGAAGTCTCTCTGATGTCTTGTTTTTGTGCTTCAGCAGATATGTTGTTGTGTATCTAGAATAATTGTCAATGAAGGTCAGTAAATATCTGTTCCAGCTGGGTGTGGGGTTCATTGGTCCAAACATGTCACTGTGTATGAGTTCCATGGGTTGAGTGGTCTTTCTTTGACTAGTCTGTGGAAGTGGTGTACGTGTGGCCTTTGCTTTGATACAACGCATGCACTTCATGAGCGTGTGACAAGGCAAAATTGTTATACCTTCTGATAGACCTCTATTTGCGAAATCCTTTATGGCTTCTGGGTTTCGATGCCCCAATCTTCTGTACCACAGGTGGATATACTTGTCGTGTACATTATGAGTTGTTGCTTTGGCTTGTTTGCTTGCAGTGGTGAGTTTTTACAGGTGTTCATTCAACCTTCCTTTTGCTAGGATTTGTTTTCTATTTCGAATTGTGCATTCATTGCATCAGAACTTAACTGTGAGTCCATTTTTAGCAAGGGTTTTTACTGGTAGGAGGCTTCCTTCTAGACATGGAACATACAGAACATTCTTTATAAGGATACTTTGCTTACCCCCTGACGGTGTGATGCAATTCAGAAATCCTTGACCGTTACCTTCCGCTGTAATACTTTCCCCATTTGCTAGGAAGACTTTGTCTTTTGCACTGTAATCAATTTCTGTGAAAAACGTTTCATCACTTGTCATGTGACTTGTTGCCCCTGAGTCGATGCACCATCCAGGTGATGTGCTATTCTGAGTTACTTTAGAGGTACCAGTCCATGATGCACCTACAGTTTACTTTGTAACTGTTTTAACCCTTTCTCTTGTGGGTGGCTCTTTCCTTCTCTGCTCAGCTTTCCAGATTGAACAGTTCTTTTTCAGGGGACCGGCCTTTTTGCAGCAAAATCATATCCTGGTTCCTTTGCTTTGTGTTGTGCCTTCATGCACCTTTAGAGCAACAGAAAAAAAAAAGAGTAAGCGCTAATTAACAGATGGGCAGCAACCTTAGAAGGGAGATCCCTCCAAACCCTTCGGAAACAAAGAAAAATAGAGGTAAGGGCTGCGCCAATTTCTATAACAAGATATAATGAGCAGTGAAAATCACAACCTTAGATAAGTAAAAATCACAACACATAAAATGAATAAAAAAATCCAAATATCAATAAAAAAAAAAGTCCAATAAAAAGGATCTTACTAAGACCAAATATAGAATAAGGTGCTTAAACGGGAGTAATATCCTCAGTGTCTTTTTCGGATGAATCCACTCATATGAAAGACAAAAACCAGATAAAAAGAACCAATAGTGCAATATGAATGGTCCAATATGTATATAGATGAACTAAATGGGAATAAACTCACATTAAGTAGAGCTATAGTTAGCTCTAGTGTGAAGGGCGTACAGCGTTATAATACCCGCTTATGGGATATGCTGTGGGTTTCTTCCGTCTGGGGTAGAGGTCCTCAAACTATGGCCCCCGGGCTAAATTCGGCCCACCAGGGTCCTGAACCCGGCCCAAGTATTTAGGGCACTATATCTTCAGGGTCCCAGTCAGTGCTGCGGCTGTTCAATAGCGCGACCGGGCCCCTTTAAAAAATTGCAGACGCAAAGTAGTGCTGAGAGGAAGTGACGGCCGGTGGTCACTTCCTCCCAGCTCCCTCCGCGCAGAAGGGAAGAAAGACAAGCAATAAGGACGGGAGAGCCATGCCGACTCCCATCAGTCACAGCCACCCTCCTGCAAAAAAGTAAGAAAAATTAGCTACGTGTGTATGTCAGTATGTGTATGTATATATGTCAGTATGTGTGTATGTCTGTCTGTCTGTGTGCTTGTATGTATGTGTCTATCTGCATGTATGTCAGTATGTGTGTATGTATTTCAGTATGTATTTATTTCAGTATGCAAGTATGTCTGTGTATGTCTGTGTCTATCTGTATATCTGTCTGTATGTATGTCAGTATGTGTGAATGTTTGTCTGTCTGTGTGTATGTAAGTTTGAGGACCCCCAGTCTGCAGTATGGTCCACACTCAGTAAACAGACAACTATTGCTCACTGAATAAAAACAACAGTATATAAAATAACTAAAATAGCACTCACAAGCAAAGAGCAGGAAAACTGCTCCTTGGTAACAGCGCTGGTGGTATGATCCCCACCTCGGATTTCTTGGAGTGCAGGATACTAAAAAATGCCAGGTAAAAATCAAGTGTATAAAAAAGATAGTTGGCACAAGGGAAGTGACCAAAAAATCTTTATTACAATACACAATTAAAAATCCACAAACGTGTTTCACCTCAGGGCTTTATCAAAATGGAACAACCGTTATGTCCCACAATGTCCCCAAGTGTTTCAGTGTCCCCATGTCTCCAAGCCAGTATCCCTGGTGTCTCAGTGTCCCCATGTCTCCCAGTGTCTCTGTGTCCCTAGTGCCTCAGTGTGTCACATATTCATCTGCACATAAAAATGTGATTAATGGCATTTACTGTCCTGACAGGAAAAGTTGTGCCGAGCAGCAATCAATCCACAGGAGGGTTTATGCTGAGCAGCAATCATGCAAATAGGAACCTGGTAACTGCCTTTGGGGTCAAAGGTCGGTTACAACCAATCAGATCCACAGGTGGGGTATTTAGGCCCAGTTCTCCTCTTGCCCAGTGCCCTGTCGTGGTTTCCCTTGTGGTTGTCCGAGAGATCGTTATTGATTCTGGTTATTCTGGTTATTTGACTTTGGCATTGTTTTTGACTTCCCTGTTTTCTGGCATCCCTGACCACTGGCTTTTCCTTATCGTTGTGTCTCTTCGGCTATTCCTGACTATTCTTTGGTACGTTAGTCCGGCCATTCTAAGGTCCGGTATACGTTACCTATCAGTCCTCTACATATTGTAATCCTGACACAGTGTTCCTATGTCTCCCAGTGTCCCTAGTGTCTGTGTGTCCATGTCTCCCAGTGTCTCTAATGTCTCAGTGTCCACATGTCTCTGTGTCCCCTAGTGACATGGGAACACTGGGAATTATGGGGACACAGACACTAGGGGACACTGGGCAACATGGGGACACAGAGATATGGGGCACTGAGACACTGTGATACATAGTCTCAGTGTCCCCAAGTCTCCCAGTGTCCTCAGATGTCTCAGTGTCCCCATGTCTCACAGTGTCCCCTAGTGACACGAGTACAATGGGAGGCATGGGGACACAGACACTAGGGAACACTTTGCGACATGGGGACACTGGGAGCAATCCATCTATACAGCAGAATCAAACTGTAAGTTGTTTTTTGGTGATTTTGCAGAATTTTCTCTTATGTCACTCTTTGTGATTTACATTATGTGATGTCACACATACATAATTAATTATGCAAATTAGTAAGGTAAGAAAGGTGGCAACCCTAACTACTCTTCACATACTCTTGCTTAAGTATGGAAACTTAAGAGGTATATATGGAAATAAAACTTGTGTGAATTAGCTGAAATGAAATTAGTTAAGCCAATGCTGACTTTGGTCTCTCTAACACTGTGGCATGTTCCCTTTCTTCTACACTCACTACATCCACCTTTTCTCTGTCTCAGACTGAATAACAGTAGCTTCTGCCTGCTAGTAAGAAGGTAAGGACAAAAGTGGACATGTGAGTGCTAGGGACACTTGTGCCAGCAGCATCCTGAGCTTGGCATGAATGCATGGATGCATGGAGCGAGCGCATCATTAGACGCATTTATGCCAAGCTGTGGATGCTGTTTGACAGCATGCATGATTGGCAGGCAGCCTGACATGCATTCATGCCATGCTAGTCTTCCAATTGTTTGGGCAGACACGCCTCGTTTTTGGGCATGTTCGTCCCTTTTGGGAGTTCTGGTTATATGATCCGCATCAGTGGCCCACCCTTTTACACCACCCATTGACTTCCTGCTTCACTGGACACTGCTATTAGGGGGTATGGATTTACTTGAAATATGAAAGCATGAATAAGATAGAGATTAGCATATTTTAAGAGAATCTGAGTTTTCTTATAGCTGCATACTATGAGTTCCCCTCTGACAACATCTCCTCCAGATGCATAACGCTTGAGAGGTATGACTGTTTTAGTGTTTTTGGTCGATAAGATTTTGTACTTGGGCCCCTCATAATTGTCAGCACCAGGCCCATTGGGTTCTAAATCTGGCCTGCAGACTGGTCCCACCCGTACAGGCAGTCCAGATCCAAAATACCAGCAAGTTCCCTCTACACGAGAGATACAGCAACCCCAGACGATCGTTTCAACCTTGTAAGGTATCATCAGTGAAGTACAGCCAATATCCCTCTAGGCACCGTGAGCAAGGGGTCCACGTTTGGATTGCCCTTTAAACTTAAGGAGAGAAATACAAGTTCGTTCTCACCTCTATTGCTACTTGTTTTTCACTCCTATAACACCCATGTGTTCACCTATTAAAAATACACATACAAAATGAAATCTCTACAGGGGAGCATCAATATAAAAAAGTGTACTCTTTTAAAAAAGACTATATTCTAACATGCATATTTAAAAGATTGTCATCTGTATGTCTTTTAGAGAATATGTTAAAAAAATAAAATAAAATAAAACAAACAAAAAAAAGTCACATAGCTTTGTCTGTTAAAAATATTGTGGAATCAAAAAATAATCCCCTCTCCCATTGTCAACACGTTTCAGAGCCAAAAATAAAATTTGGTTCTGGGTTTACACACGTTTGGTTACTTGTAGGTTCTGCCAACACCTTCTTCTAGCATAATGAATGCACAAAGGGATTTACCTGGAAATGTTCCCAAATTACTACAGAAGAACATATGGAGAATTATTCACTATAGTTGGAATTCACAATTTAAAATTTCAGGTTAAAATATCTCAATTGGAAACATTTTCTATCAGGTAGGTTTACAGATTGGCTACTTTGGCCTAAAATTTGAAATTCACTTTGAATTTGCTCTTTAGTGACTTGAACTAGTGAATAATCCTGAGGATTTTTATAGTGAGGATTTTACACTATACTGAATTCAAGCAGAGTTATTCAGCAAATTATAGTGAGAATTTTTCACTATACTAAATTGTAGCAGTTATTCAGCAAATTATAGTGAGAATTTTTCACTACACTTAATTGTAGCAGAGTTATTCAGCAAATTATAGTGAGGATTTTTATAGTGAGGATTTTACGCTATACTAAATTCTAGCAGAGTTATTCAGCAAAGTATAGTGATGATTTTTAGAGTGAGAATTTTTCACTATACAAAATTTTAGCAGAGTTATTCACCAAAGTATAGTGATGATTTTTATAGTGAGGATTTTTCACTATACTAAATTCTAGCAGGGTTATTCGCCAAAGTATAGTGATGATTTTCATAGTGAGAATTTTTCACTACACTTAATTGTAGCAGAGTTATTCAGCGAATTATAGTGAGGATTTTTATAGTGAGGATTTTTCACTATACTAAATTGTAGCAGAGTTATTCAGCAAATTATAGTGAGGATTTTTATAGTGAGGATATACTAAATTCTAGCAGAGTTATTCAGCAAAGTAAGAAGTGCAGGGATTTCAGTTAATTTAAATTGAAGGCCAATGTAGCTGACCTGAAAGCATAGCTAGCTGGGAGAATTTCTCCTTTTAGCTACTTTGACCTTAAAATCACTTCGAATTGCCTGTAAATTCCATTTCAGTGAATAACCCTGAAAGTGGATTTCCCATTTAAGGCCAAAGCAGCCAAACTGTAAAAATTATCCCAGTCAACTATGCTTCTAGGTAGGTTACTTTGACCTGACATTTGTAATTCATTTTGAATTCCAAACAGTTTTCAGTTCGGCAAATAACCTCAAATATAAATTCACACTCACATTGAATGGCTCCAGGTATATGTGCCTCTATGCCAGAATGGGTGAAATACTAAGCAGCGAGACTGGGATTTAGAAGGGCAGCATGTGTCATAAAATGTATATATTTATTAACAAATACCAAAACTAAATTTAAAAAAAAAAAGTGAATCACAAGAGCTAAATAAAAAACAAACAAACAACATAAAATCGACTCATTGTTATATCACTGACACAATATAAACCCTTTAAGTGCCACGTGAGTTGCAAAGTCCCCACTCTGGCACTTCATGTTAAATAAAACTTTCTTCCAGTAATGGATTATTCATATGTACTAATTTGGTTAACTATTTTGTTCACCCATAGCTACAAATGTCCATTTGATGTAACAGGTCATTAGCTCTTTAAAGGCCAAATTGCTGAAAAAAAATAAAATATTTCTGTATTACATGCTGTCTGCCATTCAAAGGGTTAAGTTTTAAATTCAGATCTGCGATAAAACAGAGAAGGCGAATTGTGCTGCCTTTGTTTTGTCTTTCATTTCAAAAAGAGATTTAAAAAAAAATAAAAAAAAAATTAAAAAAATTGAAATTCGCACAAAAATAGTAGATGTAAAGACACACATGGCCATCAAGTCGTTGCTCAGCACTTTTCCAATAGAAGCCAGTGAGTTAATTCCCAAAGTAACAGTGTGATGATCCATAGAATTTTACTGTATTGTTCTGTTACATTGTGACCTGCAGGAGAAGCATGACTTGATCAGAATAAATTTACCTACAGCAGCAGCATCTGCAAATAAATATCTAATCAATTGTTCTATTGCTTCAGGGGTTTTGCAACTGGCAAGGATCACAGAAAAGCCCCCCATTGAATCCATGACAATAGATCTGGCTGTGTTAACTAGTACTGAACTTGGTCACCACTGGCAGCACTACTAACTAGTTGTGCCAAAATTATGGGATGGGGTTGCCACGGTAACCAGACTGGACGTCACAATCTGGGCATGTATATTCCATTTTTGTCTCTTTCTCTCCCTCTCTCTCTCTCCCTCTCCCTCTTTTATTTTCAGGCTGAGGGATTTGGGCAGAGAGAGGGAGAGTGAAGGGGGGATATTTTTCTCCCTTAAAAAATAGGCAGCCATCTTTCTTAAACACCTTACCCTTCCAATTATACACAGTCATCAACCCCCTCCTTAAGCAGAAGAGGTGGAAAGCTGCAGAATCCTATGGGTTAAATCTCTGAAGATTTTTTCCCCTCCCATTAATAATTTTTTTTTTTTTTGGAAAGGTGAAAATAAGGATTAAGATTGTAATATAACTGCATTGCATTGATCTTGGAGAAGGTGGGGGGCATGCGGGGGCCACTGGGGAATGAAGAGCTCTTGATGGAAGACATGGAAAATGAAGAGATGTCAGGTATGGGATGGTACTATTGGCATGGGAAGTGGTGGTGGATCATGGCAGCCCTGGCCAGGGACCAGGGGCAAGGTGCCTGGGGGGTAGCGGTGGGTCCTAAAAATCAGAGCCAGCTGCATGGGGGAGCCGGCTGGAAACAAGGAGGGAGGGCACCGACCACTTTCACTCTCCTTCCCGGGTTGTTCTTCAGTTTCAAGTTTTCTGCGCTGTGGAAATCCCGTGCAGGAGGGCGCCTCTGACAAAAGCAAGACAAAGATTGTCTGTTAGCACTGGTGGTCACTGGGGACAAGTAACCTGGGAGCTTTTTCCAAATTAAAAAAACAAAGCCCACAAGGAAGTATGTCTTGTGCTCACCACCCAGCACACTTTCTACTTTGTGGGGATTTCTTTGTCTGGTTGGGGAGGGTTATCTTGGCATATTTTAGCAATGCTAAAGAAAATGGCTGTGTCCTGCTTTGTATGATATTACTCTATGCACATAATTTATGCACTGGGAAAGGTCTGTGCATGTCAGTGGCTATAGCTGTGTTTTGTCTGAGAATCCTTCTAATTAGCTTTGCTGGTGCAGTATGCTTCTTGCTAAACACAATTCCCAGCTAGCACATATGTTCTTTATTGGTGAAATATGAAGCCAGCATGATTTATTTAATAAAATAAGCTAATGCCATAGAATCAGCAGCCAGCCACAGGAGCACTGTTTGTGTTGATGAGGATGGGTAAGCATATTGTGTCATGTCTTATCAGAGCATTGTTAAGCCATGTTCATTATCTGAGGATAAACTGCGTCATGTCTGTCTTTTTTTTATTACTTATCAGCTGTTAATTCATACAATGACACACCTATTATATTTATTTATATCTATATGTAGTGTGTGTGTTATAAATTTTTCTGTTGTGTTTAAATATAAAATTGCTTTATTGTATTCTATATATATATATATATATATATTTTTTTTTTTTAAACATCACGTACGTATACAGAAAGACAATGCTATATTTATGTTCATGCATATACATTTATTTTGTTCCACTTATTTTCTTAATGGAGGGAGTTTATATCTACCTTTATATCGCTGTGAATTGTACATCGCTCTAGACTATGTCCGCACTTTAACCCCTTAAGGACCAAACTTCTGGAATAAAAGGGAATCATGACATGTCAGACATGTCGTGTGTCCTTAAGGGGTTAAAAGAAAAATAATAATCATTACTATTTGAGATCCAGGTAATATTCTTTATTCACATTTTGCTTCTAGTGAGTATTGGAGAAAGACTGGTTAAAAGAATGTTTGCTAAGACTTTTTGTGGTGGGAAACAGCTTTACAATCTCAGTTGCTGTCTTTGATGATGTCTTCATTATCATAAGGTTGTGGAGAGAGATAACAATAACCACGCCTGTGTTTGTAGCATGTGCGTAGATTAGAAACGCAGCTGGCGGAGATTCACACAGTTCTTAGACTTTTCAGCATAGACGCCTGCGTTGTTGGGAAAGAGCAGGGCTCCCCAGTTGTTTTTTAACAATGTAAAGCAATGTGTCACAAGCTTTCTCGTCACCTGTATGGAGATGACAGATACTCTTTCGCAGTAAAAGAATCAATAATTTTTCTATTGTATTTCTGAGTTTAGGCGAAGAGTGAAATGCATCGGACATCAACACATTTCACATCCCTTTTGCACTCCAACAGTTGTAAATGAGAAGGGTGAGGTCACCCTTGGAAACTTATTTTGTTATTTTGACAGATGAGAATGGTTGGTGTCATTTACAAACTTTTTGTTAGAAAAATGTAGTAATATGAAACTTAGTGTAGTGCAAGATGTGAAGGCATATAGATATTTAGAATACACAGTCCTCAATACATCTACAATAAAAATCCATTGCATTTCAATGCTAACTAGTCACTCCTATAAATACTCAAGTAACTGTAAGTGTGTTGACTATGAAAGTATTGTTCATTGGCCTCTCATCATTAGATTTTATAGTTATTGTGTTACAGGATAGCAGATCCATTGTGATGTCCCATTACAAGGAGGAGCCTGCTGTCGTTCACGTAAAGTCTGTCTGATTTCCCCCCGTTGCTAAAAGTTTAACCATTTGAGTGCTTCACATGTTGACATAATAATGTATAAGATAACTGTAGCCACATGCGAGTTGTTCTCTAATGATGAAATCAAATATATTAACTCAATAACTAAAATGAAAATAAACATAATTCTGATTAGCTATTGTTTAGTTTGTGTGTTTGATAAACCATTTAAGTTTTTATTTAATGAAAATGATTTAAATAAAGTTATTTTAGATTCCTTGTTGCAATAAGCAAGTTGAGTTTCTTTGTATCACACTGGGTTAACTCAAGTGTCAAGAGTGTGTTTAAATGGAAACTGCCAAATAATGTGTGTTAACTTTGTTTCATGTTGTTCAACATTTTCTTTTACATTTGAATCAAAGATGTAACAAATAAATAAAATCACTCTCCAGTTCAGTCCAGGCATGCCCAGGGCATGCATTGCAAATGAGGAGTGTAAGTAGATAGAATCATTGTTTAATTATTTTCTCTATGCTGACCACAAGGTTATGACAATGGTTGTCAGGGAGCCAAGATGGAGGCACCCAGTTGCAGGATAAAGTGGTGTGGATTTCTATTTTTCGTGTGTTTTTCACAGTTCACAAATACAAATTTGATATATATATATATATATATATATATAAAAATATATAATAAAACATAATCTAAATAATCCTGGCATATAGCAGTTCCCCTTTAAAATATAACAACACTTAGTGAGGTCCAAGGCTACAATGTAGAAGCCTTGAAATGGGTGCAGGTGAAAGGCTGAGAATGTCAGCTAGTGCTCTCAGTATATAATTAGCTTACCATTCAGAAATGTGTGAAACATAGCAGGAACTACATCCAAATACTATTTTGGCATACCTATGATTTGCTGTTTTCTGGTGAATTTTCAACAATTCACACAGTGTTATTCACTAAATTGAGACTTGTTGGAAAACGAAAGTGAATTTAAAATTTAACCCCAAAGTATCTAAACTGGAAGCATAGCTCACTTGGAGAATTTTTCCAATTTGGCTATTTTGCCATCAAAGGAACACTATAGGGTCAGGAACGCAAAGCATATCTTAACTTTATTCCAGTCTGCTGCTGCTGGCTCTGCCCCTGATCTGCCTCCTTGGCTGACATCATCACAAGTGGTGATCTCAGCCAATCACAATGCTTTCCAATAGGAAAGAATTGGATTGGCTGAGACTGTCAAGGAGGCAGATCAGGGGCAGAGCCAGCACAAGCTTAACACAGCCCCGGCCAATCAGCATCTCCTCACAGTGATTAATTGAATCAATGCATCTCTATGAGGAAACTTCAGTGTCTCCATGCAGAGAGTGGAGACACCAAATAGCAGTGCTGCTTACTGTGTAGCACTGCCCCAGGAAGCCGCTTTAGCAGCCATCTAACGAGTGACCAACTGGAGGTATCCCAAGACTGTAATGTAAACACTGCATTTTCTCTGAAAAAGAAAACGTGTTTACTGCAAAAAGCCTGAAGGTAATGATTCTACTCACCAGAACAAATACAATAAGCTGTAGACTGTAGTGCCCCTTTAAATTTGAAGTTCACTTTCAATTGCCAGCAATTCTCACCTTAGTGCATTACCATCACAGTTTACAGTTATTTACTAAAGTGAGATCTCAAACTGAGTTCAAAGTGAATTTCAAATTTAAGGCCAGAGTAGGTGAACTGAAAGCTGACTTTTCTAGTTTGTTTATTTTGACCTTAAATTTGAATATTAATTTGAGTTTTCACTATAGTAAATAGCCATGGTTAATTAACCTGTGAATGTTTCTATCATAGAATTTTATTCACTAAAGTGAGAATTCAAAGTGAATTTCAAATTAAAGACCAAAATACTGGAAAATTGGAAAGTCATCCATGCTTCTAGGTTGGCTACTTCGGCCTTACATTTAAAATTCATTTTCAGGGGTTATTCAGTAAAGGGATAATTCAAAGTAAATTTCAAATTCAAGGTAAAAATAGCCAAACAAAAAGCATTCTTTAAAGGGACACTCGGATCACCATAACAACTTAATCTAAATGAAGTTGTTATGGTGCCAGGAAGCCCCAATCTTACTCTTACCTTTAGGGGATAAATCATTCTCAAACAGTGTAACCACAACAGTTTCCTCCAGCACTGATCTCCAGGTCCCCCGGGCTGATTTGCTTGAATGGTCAGCTGATGCACTAAGCCAATCAGTTGCTAACCATTCTTAAAAAGTTTTTTTTTTTTTTGTGAATGGGGAGCTACTGATTGGCTTAGAGGATCAGCTGACTGGTTGAGCCAATCAGTGGTGCCTCTGCCCAGAGACACGCCGCGCTTCCTGTAACTCCGATTCTGAGGTTGGATGCTGTGTGGGGCACCTGGAGATTTGCGCTGGAGCCAACATCTAGGGTTAACCCATTCAACAACGTTTTGAAGTGTATACGTAGCATTGTGTTATGAAACATGGCCTAAAGTACCATAAGTGGAGCAGTCACCATGGAAACTAGTGGAACCATGTGTGGCTCCTTTTTACATGTTTGCACCACTTTTAAAAACAGCAACATTTTTATACATAGCCTCTTGTGTTCTTCAAACCTGTTCTCAGTCAGGAACCAGTGGCAGGCCAGTTGTCGTGATATTACTGCTTTAGAACAGCTGAGTTAATCAGTGTCTCATTCACTTTTAGTGAGACACCTGTGCAGTAGGTAAGTCCTGAAGGAAGGTTTGGAGTACACCATTTTGGCAGATAAAACTAGCTGCTTCCTACATTCTGAGAGAGCAAAGGATTTTACTAGACAGCATGTTGTAACCATATAGAGGTATTGCATTCTTTTTAAACCCTGTTATAGTGAAGTAGATGTGTTGCTATGTTCACAAGAACACTATCATTTACAAAGGTGGAATAATGACCCTAAGGAAG